CAATGGCGCTCATAAATAAAAATCACTGAGGCTTGAATTTTGCATAATTTCCTTTTTTCTTGTTTTGGTTGCACGCGGCATTACAAAGAGGAAAAAAGAAAATGGTTGGGAAAATTGCCTGTCCACATATCGCCAAAGGTGTGTATGGGGTAAATCTGGGCGTTGGAGAAGGGGCGTGTCAACGGCCTCTCCCACACATCCCCATACTGTTGGCCCGCATCATGCATCATGGTGTGGCAATTTTCAGCTTGTATGTATTTATTGCACATGAAATGCATTCCACAATGCGCCGGTAATTTACCCACCTCGCGACCAGCCTCGAATTTCAGGTGTCCAGCCACCGAGTAGCCAATTTTAATGGAAAGCTAGGGATTTATAAAGTGGCCAATGTGTGCTTATGAAAGCCAAACTTCTAGACCTTTAAATCGTGAAGAACGGGAAAATGAAGTGATCAAGACACTAGACAAGAAACTGAACAAAGAAAAGACAAGATCAGAGTTTTCTCTCATCCCTTTATATATACCATATGTTCATAATCACAGACTTTGCTCATAATTTTATGTATATAAAGGCTAAATTGAGGAAAACTCGGGAAATATAAATTTTTTAGCCACCAGAATTGAATTCATTTGAAGATGCTAACTTTCTCCTCCATTTCCCCAATATCCCGACCCTCGAAATCCGCACAAGAACCAAAGTTACCCCAGCGGGGCAGACCCACCACACTCCCCACAAAGGAATTGGCACTCTCGCCGTCCAACCGCATTTCGCCTACAATAAATCCAGACAAAGCCAACTTTTTGGCAAGCGAGAATTTATGCCCGGACTCCCGGCCGACTTCTTAGCGATTTGTTCGGGCTTATAATTCATGTTTTAATTGGCAAAAGCCGAGGCAAGAGGCGCAGACATCGAAGAGACGCATTTATTTATGACTCGTTAAGTGTAAAATATTTGGCGGAAAATCAAAGGGCGCCGAGGAACCCGCTTCAGTTCCAGCTTCAACTCACACTCGGATCTAAATCATATGTCTGTTTATGGGGGATATGGAGGGGGGAGGCCTAGTGACTCCCGCAAAAGCGGGGCAAAAAACGGCTGCCAAGTTGGCAGCCATTAGGCTAATTATAAGCTTTCCACTAGCCCAACACAAGCCTAAGCCCCATGCGAGCATTTGAAACGATAAGACCCGAATACGGGATCACGAGGCCCACTAAAAGCCCCTTGTACTGGGCCCAACATAAACTACAATAACAATTAGTCGGCTTACGGAGTCCGAGCTCCGGACCCGGGACCCCAAACCCCGAACCCTTATCAGACGTAAAAGAAAAGTGTCCACAAAGTTTGTGCGTAAGCCGCTGCAAGCAGGGTGGCGAGTTTGGGGTCGGTGGCTTCGATCCATTGGGGTTAACAAAGGACACTCTGGGCTGTCATTGGGCCAGAAGTTGGCCGGGCTAAAGAGTGCATGACATACGCTTTTTACAATTATTTACTGACACTTCCGAGTCACGCCCTTAGGTGTCCTGCTGAAGGAACACAAAAAGTCACTGCATGTGAGATTTAGGCCAGCTTTTTGGTTCCACAAAACAAAGCATTGCCTCGTGAAGAAGTTGTGAGATTGGGACTCGGCGAAATAAAGTTGTAACAATTGTAAAATTAAATTATTTCAATGAAACAAAAAATTTTTGTATTTACACTATTTCATTATCTCACTGAAAACTGAATTGGAAGAATAATATTTACTTTCCTTAATGATCCAAATATATTATATCCTTGTGAAACTAAGTATAACTAGACTGCATTTCCATTACTTGTTAAAAAAGAAAACAATTGTTACCCAATCTTAAGTTGTCCGAGCTGCTTAATTTCCCAAGCTGAGAATCTCTGTTCTCCAGAAAACTCTTCTGCTGAGAGCCGCTAATCAAAGCACTTCATCCGCAGAGTAAACACTCAACCAAGTGCTTCGGCAAGTGTATTTTGGCTTCAGCGTTTTGAAAGCAAACTTTCACCGCCTCCCTTGCCTGCCACGCCTTTTGTTATGATTTCGAAAAAGCCAAGGCGGGACAGTGAACTGTGTTTGTCATCGGGCTGGCACCGAAGACCGGGGAATCCACTCCACAGGCAGTCGGTGAAGTTTTTGCCAAAGTGCTTTCTTCGCCCGACGTCCTGCGTATCTGGCAGTGTGTTTATCACACGTCAAAGGCGCTTTTTGTCTTTGCCCAAATCTGCTTCAATTCGAGCCGAGATGAGCGGCGTATAAAAAGTTTGTGTTGTATAAACATTGTGTGATTGTTAGAAAAACATGTGCCAGAAGCGCAGGCACACGCTCGCCGAGGATAACGCCCTCACAAAAACGAGAAACACAAAAGGACTTGATAGGTTTCAGAACGAATCTGGGAATACTCTTATGCATTTTGTGGTCAATTAAAATATATAGAAGAGTTAATTTCACAAAAGAACTTGTATACACTTTAAAAATAAGATGTACAAATAGACATGAAATTATATTTTTCTGTATAAAACTTTCATCTCTACAGCAATCTTTAGCCTTGAGTTACATTCATTTTCCGCAACTAACAATACCCTCGCAAAAGTATGTATAATGAAAGAAAAGCGGGAAAAAGCTGGATAAAGGCAAAGGCAAACTCATCAAACAACGCCATCATCTGCATATGCCACGTCCTTGTCAGCGACATACTCATTCCCGTTATGATGAAAAGTCGCAAGTTTTTCAGAGCGCGCGTCTGTGTCACAATAAAGTCGCCTTTATAGTCCCGAGATTAGGTTAATCCGCTGGCTGTTGGCTGTTGGCATCGCTATCTGCACGGCCTTTGTTCTAATGATGGAAATGAGCGTGTGAAAAGCCCGGGCAATAACTCTTTCTGTTTTCTGTTTTCCCTAATGAAAGGCGTTACAGTTTATTGTGCTCACGCACACACATTCCTCGGCGAACGCGGGGGCTTAATGAACCGCTCCTGCCGGCTCTTCCGCAGCGAAAAAAAAGGAAATTCAAGTCCCAGGACTCGCTTTATCATAATTTACGATGTATTAAGTGATTTTAAACATTATGCTTGCTGTTGTTATTGCTATTACAGCCGTCTTTTGCGACCTCTTTGACATACTTACACACACATACAATTTGTGATAAATAAATAGTGAAAATAAATTATTATTTAGTCATGTTGGGCAACATATTTATCTCAAATTTCCTAGAAAGTTGTACCTTTTTGTATCTTTAAAAAACTCCACATATATAAGTTATATTCCTGTAAAAAGCTTAACAAGTCAAGATAAGTTGTACCATTTATTGTGCAATTGTAACCTCTTTTAATTAATATTTGTATTAAAAATTCTCTTTGTAAATTCACCACTATTTTCGTGACTTTGGCTGTGCAAAGCCACTACCCTGCAGGGTGTGACACCCCTACAGCAGGCCCGGAAAAAGGTGTGGCATTCTTTTGAGGGCTCATGCAGTTGACATGTGCCAAGGAGGTTGATTAAATTAATGAAATAAATTATGAGCTGCTCATCACCGGCTCGTTCGCTGCTGCCTTTTAAATTGAGTGCGCGCCATCTTGAAATTAATAATGTGACATGTCACAGGAGGACGAGGGGGAGTAAGGAGTCGTCTGCTTTGGCAGGTGCCACACACGTGTGTCGGGGTCCTTTTAATTCTGCTGCAAAATAAATGAAGTGCCTAAGCCCGTGTAGACGTTAGTCGTCTGCCGGGCGGGAATCTGATTTATGCACAGACTTGGATTTTTTCGCAAGCCCGCTCATAAATTTATGCACTTAATTTCATTAATGCGATCGCTGCGACATCGCGCATACGCCCCGTGTTGCAAGCGATTGCGGAAGCTGCACAGACAGTTGACTCTGATTATTGAATTGAATTTGCTTTTAAAGTGGTTTCCCCCAATCAAACCGCATTCTCATCTGCGGCCGAGTAATTTCCAATAAAATTGATACAGAATAAAAGTCTCCTTCGGTCTGAGAAACTTTTTGGCCAGAGACGACGAACCACAAATTCGTTAGAGGAGCAGCCCGAAAAATCCAATAAAAACACAATGAGACCATCGACCAGAAGCTGCTACAATGCGATGCATTTAAGTGCGATTACTCCTTCCGACAATGCAGATTGTGTGGGAACTGCAACTGGCATTGCACAATGCCCACGCCGAGCATTTGCATATGGTATCCTGTGCAGCCTTTCTACACTTGACAAATTATCGAACTTAAGGCATCAAATAAACCTTTTTAATTTTCCTGTTGATGCTAATCAAGAATAACTTCTACAAGATTATAAAAACTTTAATATATGCAAAAAATCATAAATTATAAGTCAAAATACATAAATCCATAAATTTCTATATTTATCCACAGTTTGTATGCTTTTCCGGAGTGTACTTCCATCGGCTCTCCAAACTCGAACTCAAACTGACCCTGTGACTTGAACCCTTTCGCCCTGGCCAGAAATTAACAAAATGCATTGCAGGATGCGAAGCCAATCCTCACCCCAGCCGGGGCATCGGGCCAACAAAAGCCACCAAATTAGCAGACGCACACAAAAGACTCTCGAATGGGAGCCGTGTGCGTTGTTCACAATGGACCAGCACGAAATGCCATCAGGACAACTGTGGGAATGGTGTAGAGGTAATGGAACGTCTAGGCCGTGTTTGCTGCCAGACAATGGAGTTGGTTGACTTTTGCTACCCATGGGGCACCACAGTAGGCAAAGTAAAGAATGCACATAGGTGGCACATGAATTTTGGGGATTCCTATATCCTAAAAATGGGAAATATAAATGGTTGTCTATATTATTTATGATCCTTGACCTATTAAGTCAAGGTTGAACATTGAAACGAATTCATATTCCTCAGATTCTTCAATTCATCAAGCTAGGAACTGGGATTTCTCTTTATAATATAATTCTTGATACCCTTTTTGTGACAAAATGTCGGCATCCTCCCTGTTATACATGACAAAAGGACAAACAAAAGCCGATATGCAAATTAAAAGTTACATTTATTCGAGCTCCCATTCCGGTGAGCCATAAAATCAAAAGCAGAACCGGACTGCATTAAAAATCATCCTCATCATCATCGTCATCGATGATGGCCAGGCGACGCCGCTTGGACGGCTCTCCATTGACTTTTGCTGGCTTTTTGCGAGCCAGAAAGTTGCCCTCATCGTCGCTATCCTCCTCGGCATCGATGTGACCGTCACCGGCAGCCCCATCCCCTTGATCGTCGTCGTCGCTGCGTGGGCGTTTGTTTGTCTTGTCAGCGGGCGAGGCGCCATCATCATCATTGTCGCTATCCGAGTCAATTACATTAGCGCGACGTGCACGCTGCAAGGACTTGTTGGTATTGTTCTCCTTCTCCTCCTCGGCATCATCTCTTTGCTTCTCAACCTCGTCCTCATCCTCCAATTCGAGCAGCCGAGCACGATAGTCCTCTGAATTGAAGTCGAATGCATCATCGTCGTTCGCCTCTTGAGCGGCCTTTGTTGACTCATTTAGAACCATATCGCCGAGCTTGATTTTAGTGGCTCGCTTGGTTCTCAATTGCTCAAATAAATCATCCGTGTTGGGTTTCTCCAGCGCCGCTGGTACCTCTTCCTTCGACTCCTTGGCCTTGCCTTTGTCCTTTTGCTTGGCCTTCTTCTCGCTGGCTTTTCCCTTGGACTTGGCCTTGCCTTTAGGAGGGGCTCGCTGCTCGGCCTCGTCATCGCTTTGGTTGAACATTAGGCTATCCAGCTTTCGCTGCTGCTCGGCGGCAATGTTCTCCTGCCGCTGTCTGCTGTGCTTGTCCAGAAAGTCCTCTTCCTCTTCCTCATCCTCTTCCTCCTCGCCATCTTCCTGTTCTTCATCTGTACTGTTCTCTTGATCCTCCTCTTCGGCCTCAATCTCAACTTCTTCGCCGGCCAGAATTTTGGAGCGCAGTTGCAAATCGGCGGGATTTAAGTAGGTGGGAATACGCCAGTAGGTCTCCATGCCCGCAATTGGTGGCTGCATTCCAAGGGCAACGAGAACCTTCTGGAAGTCTCCATCCTCCATTGCTTCCCTCTGGTCCTGCATTAATGGTAGGAGTGGAATACCATCCTCTTCCTCGGCTGGCTCATCGGTATCCTCGCTGGCATCCTGCAGAGACTCCTGCAGCCACTCGACGGCAGATTGGTACTTCTCCGCATCCACCTGAGCAACTAGTGCTCTCACCGTGCCCACATCCAAGGGTGTACGCACCACTTGGCGTTTTTTGGCCTTGGGTTTCTTTGCGGGCTTTCGATAACCATCCTCCTCGGGCATGGGCTCCTCCATGAAGTCGTAGCCATCGTTGCTCTTTTCCAGATCGTAAACCTTGGCCTTGGCCTTGCCGCGTCCCTTGGCGGTTTTGGGAGGCATTATCTCAGACTTGTCGGCTATCAGGTGAATCTGCAACATCCGCTTGATGATCTTTTGCTTGGAGCGACGCTCCTCGAATTCCTTGACGATGCGGTCCAAGCAATCTGGAAAATAGATATTTTATTTGTAATTAAGTTGTTCATATATTTGAAAATAAGTTATTTATATTTTTTCAAATTATTCACTGCTTTGCACAAAACCTTTGCCTACTTTAAGTATATTCTTATTCGCTTTTCAACTTCATTTAAAGAACTGCGAAAAGAAAAAAAGGAAAATGATTGCCCCAACGTTGAAACGAACCAATTTGGTCCTTTTCTGCGTCCTGGGTACTCAAACTGGTTGTCCACTTACCCGGCTCGGTGCGATGCTGATCGTATAAGCTCCTTAGCTCCTCATCCTCTTCCGGCTGCCAGAGGTTTTTGCCACCCTGGGCCGCCTTGGTCGAGCGTTTGGTGGGCGCCTTGAAAAGCAGGCCCAGTTCCTTCAGCTTCTTCAGGACTGTCCGGCGATTGCGCGTCTTGTCGGCCAAATTGTCCAGAATCCAATCAATCACATCTGAAAGAGCAGACACAATTGGGTTGTTGTTTTCCGTCTGTCCCATACTGGGCTAGGCATTTTGTGGCTGCTGCCGCTGGAGCAACTCGAGTGCCGGAGCTCTGATTGCTTCTATTCATTTACTGCGAATCCTGTTTTAATTCACACTCGGGAGGAGTTGCCCCAACAGCAGCTGGAGCTTGCCTACTCAAAAGGGATGTAAAACGAGACTAAGGATGATTTAAAGACCTTTTTAATGTATTTAAATCAACGAATGAATAATATTTACTTTACCAATAATGTTAAGAAACAGTTTTTAGCTTTTTTATATTTATTTTAATGAAGTTAATATTAGTACCAATTTTAAAGAGAATAAGTTAACAGGCTCAGTTGTCATTTTGCATCCCTGGATCTCCAATACATACCCTTTTCCGTTTCGGGATTGCGCTGGTTCTCTTCAAAGAGGAAACGCAGCTCCGACTCCTGCTCCTCGCTCCAGGCTCCTTTGGTGCCGCTGCAAGTAAAGTTAACCGAATGTAGATATATTCCTGACGATTTCGACTCTCTTCATGCAGAGTATCTGACCCTTTGACTACTCGCCCGGGGGTGCAGATACAATGACTTGGCTGGAGACCCTGCTCCGGCGGCCGCTGGCTATCATTTATCATGTGCCAACTAAACGACAGACGATGAAGCCCCGGCTCAGTCAATCATGCGCCCATTGTGATGATGGGCCCCTCTTAACCCCAGACGGAGAAGGACAATGCCGAGATACACCCATACTCACGCTTCATAGGCATCACAATAGCCCGACTCCAGCTCATTTGCCTCCCTGATGCCTTTGTAAAATAATAACTCTGCATAGATTTTGGGATTAGCAGGGGCCACCTCGACAAATTTGCGCACTACAAAGATGGCCAGGCGACGCAGCTCCTCCTGATGGGCGTCACGTTCCACGCTGAAGACTTGTTGAAAGATGCGGAACAGCTTGGCCTGGTGGAAAGGGAGCAAGAACAGGGAGTAACGGGGGAAAATGTTGGTGAGGTTGTGCTTGAAATTCAAATGAAAAGTTTCTGGAAAGACAGCCACAACAGCAGTCTACTCTCCTCCTCTATCATTCAACCCCCTCTCTGCGGTTGCCGCCTGCGGTTGTCGCTCTGCCGAGCAAGATATCATTTGCAGTTGGCAAAAACTTTATAAACGCCACCCAGGCCCACGTCTAACCCTAAAAATCCCCTCGCCAGCGGTAAGAGCGACCCGTCCCGTGCTGTATCGTTGTCGACTGTCGTCGTCCGTATTTGGAATTTAATTTATCCTATGATTGCGCAGACCCATTAGTGGTTTTGACTTTGCATATGATGCTACTTTTGTTTTGCTTGTGGCCAGGCTGGCAAGCAGCAGTCTGCTCCTTTTGATGGCCACATGGACATGGATAGCTGCAGTCGTTCACTGTGGAAAAAAACTGCTATCTAATATTGACGAGAAACGGACTTCAAACGAGATTAATTAATTTTCTCCAAGTACATTAAGAAAAATTTATAAGAAATGTACAAAAAAATAGACGAAATTTGTAAAGGTACATTTTATGGAAAGAATATTAAAATTATAAAAGAACTAAGCGGTAACTCTGCGAATAAAGTAAAAAGTTTTATAATTTTTTGTACTTTTAAGCATTTACTCATAATTTGCTAAATGTTTTTCCTACTTGTTCAAATATTATTTTCTATCAGTGTCCTGTTTCTCATTCTCGTCATCGTCATTGTCGTCCTTTTAATCGTCGCTTGTGCACAGCAGACACTGAGCCGGCTTAGATGACGCTGATAGGGAGCTGTGCCTGCCGCGCCAAAGCCTGGCCAGAAACGGGGTAACAGGAGACGCTAGACATCGGCTTTGTTCCCCCACAAAATGCGATGCCGTTTTTGGTTGCTCCAGTGATTAGCCATTCGCCAGAGATTCTGCAGTGCTTTCTGCATGCGATTGCGACCCGGCTGGCCAAAAACCAAAAGAGCTTTAAGCATCGCTTAAAGCCGATGAAAATGGAGAAGCCCTTTGGGTAGAAGGGTTGGAGCGGAAAACGCGAAGGCCGCACAGCAGCCTGCTGCTGAATGTGATTTATGAACTCTGCCCGAAAAGAAAAGTTTAATTGCCAGCCGTGAAAAGCAGCATAAGCAGTTGAAAAGAAATCCGGAAGGCAGTGGAACATTACCCAGAAAGGTACAATATTTAATGCTCTACAGGAAGGAATTTATTAGATAAAAAACATAAATTTAGATAAATATAAATCATTACAAAATAACATAAACAAAAATTGATTGATTTTTATAGTTGACTTTTTTGTGAATCACTTATTTTTGGAAATATCAACATCAAAGCTTAAACATCTTAACAAAATGTCACATTAAATTTAAAGTAAAAGCCTCAATTTAAATCTGGGAAATACCTTTGAGGGTCAACTCCAAGACAATCGCGTTAGACTCTTCCCCAAGGGAACTGAACAAACTCAAACACAGACATTTGAATATTTGAGTCGCAGCCCAACCGATGCTGCGGCTCAAGGCAGCGCGTGAAAGGCTTAAAAAGTTCAAATTCCAGCTGACAGGACCCAGGGACCTGAAGGGAGTCCTCCGAAAACCCAACGAACCCGCTTAAAAAATATATACGTAAGCGGGCGCGCCGCAGTAAATATCGTTTGTGGCTTTGGACAAATAGAAAAAAGGTCCGCTTAATTTGTACAAATTACCATAAAAATGAAATGAAAGCAGCGACAGTAGAAGAAAGAGCAAGGCACAAAAAAAAAAAAAAAAAAAACAGAAAAGGAACGCCAGCTAAGCTGTGGCATTTGTTTTTGCATTTGACTTTGATTTATGTGCAGGTCCTTTTAAAAAAATATATTTTAAAAGCCCCCCATTGCGGGTTCCACAAATGCATTTCACAGGTAAGGGGGAATTTTAATGTAAAGATATTTATTTTTTGTTTAAACTTGAGCTTTAACTTATTTTTAATAAATGAAATTAAGTGTTCTTTACTGTCACTAATACCCTTAGGACTGTTTAACGCCCTTTATTCCTCCTTAAGCTACTTCCTTCGAGAATTTCTATAGTATCTTTTCGAATCACTCACCTGGTAGAGCATTCCCGGACATTTACAGCCGTAGGCGATGCGATGTAGAATAGTTACTGCCGCCTTCAAGGATCGCGTGGGTATATCTGCCCAGTCCGTTAGCACTAATGTACAGGCGCGAACGATTTTCGGATTCAGCAACCTGCGGAAACGGGGGTATTATAAAGCAGAACTCCAATTAAATTATGCTAAATTTAACTAATTATGATTTAAGAGTTTATCCAGGCAGCCACCCCCGACAGCATCGAGAGCAGAGGCGAGGCACCGCAACCGCAAATGTTCTACACTCGGCGCTAAAGTTTTAGAAACATTCGAAACAACAGCAGCAACAATGGCGACGGCAGCGCAATTAAAATACAAGCGGCAAACCAACTTGACGTCATTTTATTATAATTGTTGTAGCGGGTCGGGGAGAGCTGATGTTGCTATTGCTGCCGCTGTGCGACTGATGTTGCTGCTGCTGTGCGACTGATGTTGCTGTTGTTCGTCCTAAGCTGCCCGCGGCATCTGTGTGCGCCCCGGTTTCGAGTTCGAGTTCGCGGCCATAAAACTTTTGGCACAAGTAATTTCTGACACTAATCCTTAATTAGTAGCCACGAGCACTGACTCTGGACCGCCTTTCAATTAAAAACACAATTACAATTTTCAACACGACCATCAGCCCGAAACCGCCGTTCAACCGACCGAGCGACCATGATAACTTTTCAAATAAGGGCAGTAAAATTTAAGCATCCTCCATCCCTCATCCCAGGACCCCTCCTCGACCATTTGTTGTTTCCCAAAATGGAAAAGTGTCCAAGCGGTTTGGCCTTGATTCGAAAACTTTATGCTCTGTGGGGTCCTGGGTCCTGGGTCCTTGGTCTAGCTAGGCCTATTTACCTGCGAGCGAAATCATCAAATTTGAACGTTTTCTCGGTGAGTCCATTATCTGTGTCCGGGGCGAGAGGGAAGGCAAAGAGGCAAATGCCATTTATTAGTTGAAATTTCCTCAAATTATTTTCATATTTATCACAGATTTATGCGATGAGTGCTCTGCTCGGCTTACCCTGCTCGCCAAACTCCTCGTTATCCAAGTCATCGTCCTCGTCCTCGTCCTGCTCGTTTACGGTTTCGTTCTCCTTCTCCTGGGGCTCGACTGAAATCAGAAAAATACTTATTAAATATCATTTATAATCAGAATGCCAGTAACGCTGATTGAATTTCGCTGGAAAACAGGATTGTAGCGGACGATGGAGAAAACAATCAACTCAAACTGAAATAAATTGGTTTCTACAATATATGTATATGCAAAAAATAATATAAAATATAAGCCCCATAATACTCGAATTTAAATCAGGCTTTAAAGCCCTTCCTCTATTTAAAAAATCACCTATAACGATTCGATCAATTCTGCACGAGTTGCATATATGGAGATAGATGAGGACTCTCGGGCTGGGACACACAACCACACAAATGGCCATTAACAATAATTATGACTGCTGCATTGCATAAACAAGTGTACTTATGTTACAACAACAACAACCAGCACACAGTGCTGTGTGCTAGAGTCCTGATAAAATGCAAAGCTAGTCGAGTGGACACTTTCCAGGATCCCTTGTGAAACACTGCAATTGGAATGGAATATGTATGCGTGCCACACGACCCGGGGATTTGGCCAAAAGGCTGCTGGTGTGTTGCACCTGCTGCAGGCTACCTGCCCCAAAAAATGTCTGCCGACCGGTGCTGGACTTTCGGGCCACTAACAACTTCATTTTGGAAGTGCAAGTGCCACCACCTTCGCACCCCACAGCCTCCTTTGTGGGCCACACCATGGAATTTGCTGCGTGTGCGTCGCTTTATTAACGTCTTGAATGGGAGATCCTCCGGTTGCGTTGCGTTGCGTTGCGATGTCCTTGTCGTTGGCAGTGACGCTATGCTCCGTCATTAAAATACAATTTTCTGTGTCAGGTTCAAGCTGTAAGCCCAAAAACATGGCACACAGGAGTGTGGAGCTACGGGAGGAGAGCTGCAGAGGAGGTAGTGTTGCATGCAACACGGACAGCACGATATTAGTGCATGTCTTTTGGGCTGCCTTTGTAGCTGCATTTGTTGGCAACCCCCGACACCCCCCGACAGGACTATGGATATAGCCCCAGTTCGTGTCCTGTTCCTGCTCCTGAACAACAACACCTCTCCCCGAAAGGCTGCGACTGCACGGCCATTAAACATGAACCTCGTTACGGCGCTGCTGATGTAACTTCATGGGTAGTCAGGAACAGAATGGGAGTCTGGAAGTCATGATGGCACTCCGGAACTCACACTGAAGAGTGTTTAAAGAAAGGTGGCTGGTTTAACGCCAAAATAAGTATGGGAAATTTGGGAAGAAGAATAAAGGCTTCGTAGGTCTGAATTTATGTGAATTTTCTTGTGAACTACTATTATAGGTAATCTACTTTACAATACTATATTATATACAGTAATCCTGTGATATAAAGATTTAACTATTAAAAACCCATTACAAGATAAATCAATAATATTAAGAGGTACTCAAGTTCACATATTTATGGAAAATAAAATGTTTAGCTTTGGCTGCGCATCACACTTTACTGGCCAGTGGTCATTATGTGTGACTCTTGCGCGTCTCCCCCACCTGCACAGGACCAGAAGTACACCTGAGCCCCACCTAGGCCAGCTCCATGTCAGCTCACCTGCCTCCTCGACTGACCTTCATGCCAGAGGGTCTGTGGGCTTCCTGGCTGGTGGTGGTAGCATGCAAAAACGGGAACGTGCTTGGTGTTTGGTCTGTGGTCAGCAGCAGACAATGTCCTGCCATGCACAACTAGAGACTCCTCCCCACAGGATATACCTATACTTTTGGGTAGCAATTAATTTGAAGTCTAACACGTGTGCGTGTGTGTCCTTGTGATTATTACATAATGGCAAAGACACTGTCAACGACAGCAGCTAACTGAACCGGGTGCGGGTGCGGGCGGTTGGATTTCGGTGGCTCAGGTTGTGTAAGTTCGAGCCTGAGCCGGATTTCAAGGACTCCCAAATGCTAACAGGTGATGACACACACACACACACACACCCGCAGACGGCCTGCTGGCAGGGACATAAACAAAATAATAACAAAGCGCAGCCAGGACTCAGCAATGCCACGCGAAGAGCAAAGCCCGAAAAAGAGCGACGATTGATAACAAAAAGAGAGTCCGCGCAGGCGCCCTTTGCCTACTTCGAATTTCGAAGTGCTCAGGCTGGCTTAAAAGCATGTCCCGGTCGAAAGAGCAGCTCAGTCTAGTGCTGAATCCATCGAGGCCAGGACACGCGACTCGTGACAGCGCCGTACCGAACCAAAACCCCAAGTGCCAAGTGCCGAGTGAAGAGGCCACAAAAACAAGCGACTAACTACTAACAGCCTCCAGAAATTGCAATAGTGCGAATTAAACATAAAACAAAAGAGACCAGGTAGCGCAGATCAAGCAGCTCTTAATTGTGTGTTTTGCGTGCCTTTTGAGTGGTGTGCATGTGTGGTAGTGGGATGTGGGATGTAAGCCAACTTCCGGTGGCAGAAGCGAAACGTCAAAGTTGTATTATTTTTTTTTTTGTTTTTTGTTTTTGGCAGACAGCAAGGCGTCGAAACTGGGATTGGGATAGGAGCACTCTGGCATCTCTCATTCTACTAGCTTAGTTTCGGCTTCCTTATTTTGGTGTAATCATATTTTATTTACTGTTCTTTGGAGTTGACTTCCACGGATTTCCTCAAGCTTTATGGGCTTTAAAAGCATACTCTAGGGTTTGTTTGATATCTGTCTTGAATTTAAGTCAATATATTTAACTATAAATTAAATAAATAATTAAAAAGTTGTAGAAATATAAAAGGAAAGAAATATTTGGTTTAGCTTGATTTTGATGCTAAAAAAGATGAGCTTATTACATGTAGATTTTTAATAAAAAATAGAAACAACCAAGCACAGAAACAGATTTGAATCATATTTAAAATTCTTTTATACATAAAAATATATAAAATAAATTTAATTTCCGTATAACCTTTGTGAAGAAATAACTGTCATTATTATTATTATTACTACATTCCGAATAAAATTATTTATTGCATAATTTTGTGCCCTGAAACTGTTGTTTTTGCTCTAGAGCTCTATAGTTTCCGCCGCCCCCTCCCGGAAATAGTATTTTGCGAACTCCCGCATTTCCGCCAGCCCTTTGCATGCGTGTGTGCCTGTGCCTGGGTGTGTGGGTGTTTGTGTTTGCGGGTGTATTGGAGTGTGCATAATGTGCTAGTGTGCAAGGATCTGCTCATTTCCGCTCACCTGCCAAAAACTAGGTAAAAGCCAGCTCGTTAAGCTCACGGTGAAAAATCCAATTGCAGTGCATCCAGTGTTTGGGAAAAAACCTTAAAGCAAACAGCAGGCGAAGTGAATTAACCATAAACAAAACCCAAAACGAAACGAAAGCGGAGCAGAGCAAAAGCGAAATTTAAACGTCTCTGCATATTAATCAGAACGAGGGAAACGTGAACAGGATCAGGTCCTAGACAACTTATCACCGAGGATTTACGCAGACAGACGAAAGACTAGTCCCGAGCTGCGAGAGTAGAGCAAAAGGCAGTGCTAATCAACGGCCAAGCCAGACGACATCGCTCCCAACTGGCCACGCCCACCCAACGCTCATCCTTCGTCCGCCACAAAGCAAAACAAAAAAGAAGGCAAACCAGAACGGGAGCAGGCGCAGGAGCTGGAGCAGGAGCCGCCTCATTTGGCCACTGCGGATTATGTTAATTAGGTAATTTTTGCTTTGATTACTCGTACCTTGGGGGCTGTGCAATTTTGTTTGCTTTTCGCCCGCTTTTTATGCCCGGTCCTCGATTTTATATAGCCACCACAGCACAGCACCCACTGTCGTCCGGCTTACATATTTATGAAATTTTCATGCAAATCGAGCTAATTCATTCACATTCCTCCGTTGCTGCTCATCTGGCGGCAGCCGCTGCTCAGTTTTTAATTTGCCGCTTTAATTGCCGGACAATTTTTTGCCTTCGCCAGCCTGATTTGTAGTTAAGAACTCATAATTATGAGCAGGCTGAGACGAAAATTGAAAAAGTTTTCCACTTAAATATTTCTCTAATTTACAACACCTCTCTAAATAAACATAAATTGCAATTATTTGGGCAAATAAAACAAAAAAGCTATATAAGGCAGGTTAACCAACAAAAAGGAATTTAAAAAGTAAACAAGCAAGAAATCATATTTCGGGTATTCGAAGTTTGTATACCCTTACTTATAATCAAATATAAACTATTTTTATATTAATCATGTCTCGAACGACTCGCCTTTTGTTACTGAACAAGAATTTATATAATTTATAGTGTCTGAAAATTATAAAGCCCTGCAAGAAAAGAAAATCAAATGCTATTGGCACTTGAACAAACGATTCCCAGCCACACAATTAAAATATAAATTAAAATTACTCAAATCAAAATCCTTTTGAGTTCTGTTAATGGAATTGAAATTAATTAGTGGGCCGATAATTTATTTAACAGCTGACATTTTATGGTCAACTGGTTACTGTCTGTGTCAAGTTGGTCGCTTTTAGATTCGATTTGCCCAATTAAAACCATTTGCAACCACAACACTATCAAATATTACTGGAAACTAACGATGAATAGAACAATTGTGGCCGGCACGCAAGTCAATTGTACAATTCGATAAATTCAGGCCTAAATGCAGGGGCCAGAATGCAAATTCTGGCCAAAAGTCCAAGGCTCCTGGGAGGACAGAGGTCAGGGGTTTAAACTCGAACAAAAGCTAACACAAACTTGCGAATGCTAATGGAAACAAAAACAGAAACTCCCTGATGCCGGCAGGCATTCAAAACTTTATACTCGGTGCTCTCTACCTATCGATAATTAAATTGGGAAATTGTGAGCTCTGAATCGGAATCGACTGGGGAAACTATGGAAATGTGGCCGGCAGAAATCTTGCTCAAGTCCCAGCCGCAATCCCCGCTGTTGCGCAATTCTGTTGAGGATTCGAGAGCTCGGAGCTTTATGATTTTCATTTTCATTTTCAGTTTAATTTGATTGATTTTTGCTTTGTCCGGGCGACGGCACATGAAATTCATACGTCTGAATTATGCATGCAAAGCTGCTCGCAAAAGTATTATGAAATTCCTGTGGGCCATTTATTTATTTACGAGTATATTGCGCACACAAGCGGGCCAAAAGCGTAGAGCAAATCGGTATATATAGATGCCACTATGCCGCGCACTCAATACACATAAATATATATACACAGAGAGAGTATGTTTACGCTCTGGCAAAATGTCAAGTGCCAAATTAAGCGAACGCTAATTCGCCTTTTATCTGCCACGGCAATAAAACTTTGCCCAGTATCTCTACCTGTTCCCCGGGAAAGTCATAAAGTCCAAGCTCCTGGCAATTAATGCAACCACAACATCTAATTAGATGGCAGCAAAATTGCCGCCAGTTCAGAGCAGATAGCACACGCACCCTCAACCTTCGAGGATTCGCTTCTGGCAGAGGAGGTCGCCCCAATTAAGGGTGCCCGGGTGTCGAGCGAGCGAGCGGGTGAGTGCCTCTTGTGCGGTTAAGAAGCAAGACACCCTGGCATCGTAACCTGATATCACATCAAAAACACAGCCAACTCAATTTATTTTGACTTTCAATCAAGGCTCCGGGCATGGAGCAGCAAGTCGGAATTATGGGAATTGTTTCCATTGGCAGCACAATTATTATTTATTTAATTAGCTGATGAAGCGGCTACGTGATGGAATTGTTTATGTTTAAATTAAATTTCGCAGCTGCCAGCATCCCCCAGATTATCTCTTTAAAAACAATTGTAATTATTAAATAATACTTATACCTGAAACATAGCAAATCATGAATCATTAATACAAAACCGTGTTGTCTGCCAAGTACTTCCATAAGATCACGCAATCCGCAGCCATTCCGCAACCACAGTGCGTATGAGTGATGCGGGTGGCAACCGCAGCACTCGAGACAAGCGGTGCCAGATGGGCCAGGTTTACAGGGCTTGCTGAGTTCACAGGCCTCTAGAGAACAAAAAGCCAGGGATGCCATTGTTTGCGGCCAACTCGGGCACTTGCAATCACGTGCCTCGTCTCGTGGCAATCAAAGTCGTTAGCTGCAACCCGGGGGGGCGAAGAGCGAAGAGAATGGAGTCCCTGGAAAATGGGGTAGACCCATCCATGTGCGGCAGCGAATAATCAAATATTTTCGTGACTACAAAGGACTCCTCCCAACACACACACAGAGACAGACAGATAGCACGCAGACAGGCGACTGAAACTTAAAGCCAGTGAAAGTAAATCCGATTTAGGACTGGAAAATGGCAGTAAGGGCAGATCGGCAGTGGCGGAAGCAAAACGCCGAGAAAGGCACCAGACAATTTGCATATTTATGAAGAAGAACGGCCTTTGATAAAGCTGCAAGACGGCGGCCGCTTTAAGCTGCTCCAAATTGAAAAACGCAGACAGCAAAGGCAAAAGATACAAAAGTAAATGGTTGTGAGCTGTTGGGTCTCCGGGGCTGGGGCTAGCAGCAATAATCTGCGCTGATTTACGATTTACAGGCGCGAAATAGACAACGCCACGGTGGCATGAGGCGGCGGCAGACAATTTGCGTGCGCAATTTGCAGTTGATGGGCGACACACGCCCATGCCTCACTCCCGCCAGAAAAAGAGAAACACCCTGGAAAAAAAAAGAAAACACCCAGAAAACCGGAAGGCCACCCCCCAATTCGGCTAAATTGTTTAACATTTTTGCGAATGCAAAAAAGCGAAAAATATTACACACTGATTTTGATCGCTTCACAGCGGAAAATGGCAAATGGATAGCTGTCTATCCATCGCAAATATTTCACGCTGAGTCTGCACAAATATGCCGCCATTTAAGGCAATCGAGAGCCAGTGAAGCATCAGGAAATGTTCTATTCACATTTAATAATCCATTTCATGGCACTGAAACTCATGCAAGCGGGAAAAAAAATATATAAATTTAATGCCTTTTAAATTGGCTCTGAAATAAGCCTTTTGTGTATGGAAAATTCGCATACTAAAGTTATTATTATTGCTGGAGAAATGAGGTAAAGAAGCTTAGTTTCTATTATAGAAGATACAAGAAAACCCTATTTTAGCACCAATTACTTCTCTAGAACTTCTACTTCACCCAGCCTGAAAGCATGTAAAGCAATTACCTTAAACTCACTGCATTGCGAATTAAAAATCCAGCCACACTTGCTCTACTCTCCTGATTGCAATGAGAAAACTTGTCTGGATGTACAAATATTTATAATTAGCAGCCAGTGAGTTCAAGTCTCTTAGCCCCCAACCAACTCACCTGGATCTGTCTGTATGAAGAACTCATTGCGCAATCACTTCCACTTCTGATATGGGGCAAATATTCACTTTTGGCTTAAGTTTGCCGAGTAAAAGCTTTTCAGCTTTCCCACTTGACATGTTCCCAAAACTGTGTCAACATAGTTTTTCAATATTGCCTCCTCCCCTGCCCGGCATGTGTGCATAACTTCGTACGTATTTAGTGCAAATATGGGTAAGCAGTTGGCATATGAGGTTGATATTACCAAAAACCAACTTCCGCTCCCCACACATTTCCTTGCACTTACGCAAGCACACAGACACATTTGCCAGCAGCAAAATGACTTTAACAATGCAAATGGAGCACTCAAATATATATAAACATAAGGTTTTAGCAGAGAGCGTTACAGGTGCGTAGGGTATATCTAGGAGGGTATTTCTAGGAAGATTAAGTTTTTATCACTAAAAATAACACTGGTTTTAAAGTACTTGGACAATTAACAAGTTATTTTAATGCGAAAACAAAAACTGTACAGAAAACCCTGATAATAAAAGTAAAACTTGTTTTCTTAGATAAATTATTTAACTTAAAATATCAAGGCTTGCCGATGAAGACATAAATTTAGAAGCGTCAAATAAAAGCCATGAAATCTAGAATTCAAATAATCAAATAATACTTAATTTGACTCTACAAACTATCTGGAAAAAACTTGTAATTCCGGAAGATCTAATATATTTAAAAGAACTTTAAAACAAAATATACCCAAACCTTCAGAGATTTATATTCGATTTAAGGTGAAATATGTTTATTTGCATTGACAATTTGAGCTCCCCCTTTTGGCTACGCTGCTGGATGCGGCACTTTTGGAAATCTCACCTTAATGCCTAATCCCCGACATTAAAGTGTTGCGCCAACAAAGTGATTTGTTGTATACAAAGCAGCCGCATGCTGAGACACACAACACACACACACACAGAGGCGGCCTCCTTTGCCCCCATAATGCCACCCGAAGGCCCCTCTGGATCACCATTATTCCCCTTCATCAGCATCGCACAATGGGAACGACGGCAGTGCAAATAATCTTTGCAGTAAATACGCAACGAGAATGGAGAGGACAGAAAAAAACCCCCGTCTGGGGATCATTATTTGCCCAAGTGGGAAACAAAACGTTGGCAAAAAGTCCTGCGAACCAAATGTCGCACATGACTGCGGCAAGTGTGTGCGTGTGTGCTCGTGTGCTCGTGTGTGTGTCTGAATGTGTAATTTAAGCATTAGAGACGCGTAAAACCTTAACTCAGGGCGCATACACGCACACCCAGAGACATGGAAATTGAATAAATTATGCGTGTCATCACATGCCGAGAACAGGCGAAAAATCAGGCGGTGGGGGGGGAAAACTGCGGAGACCCGGCAGGATTTTCTAGGA